GCCGCCGCCGCCGCCATGGACGATTCCGGCCTGATCCGCCGCCGGAGGCTGCAGGTACGCGGCATTCACGGCCCGGGGTAGGGGAAGGGGTCGGCGCCTCGGGGTGGGGCCGGCCAGAGGCCGCGGAACTTGCGCCAGGGTCGGCCCGGGCGACCCCTCCCACAATCTCCGGACGCTGCCCGCGGGGAACGCGGTGGCCGCGCGTCCCGCCGCGCTGGGGACCCCGCCCCTCAGGCGCCGCCCGGGGCTCTGGGGAGCAGATGGAGGGGGTGCAGCCGAGCGCTCCCCCTCGAGGATAACCTGAGGGGCGACTGGCCTGCCGGAAGGGGAAGGGGCTGGGATCGAAGTCACCGCCCTGGAGTCTTGCAGAGCTGGGAAGGGGGCGCATAGCAAAGTTATTGCCCCAGGGTTCGCGCCCCTCGGGGCCGCCGGCGCCGCAGCAGCCGTAAACATGTTTGTGCGGCAGCCTCGCCCCTTATCACCTCAGGAGCCCCTTTCCGAGATGTGGAAATCTCCTTCGCTCCCCATGTACCCTGCCTGCCCCCCAGATTCTCCCTACTGCCCTAATCGGACCAGCACCTAAGCAGACTCTCCTCCACTCTTCGTTCCACCCCCCATCCCATCCCCCCGCCCCCTGCGATCCTCAAGTCCAGCCCAGCTTGTGGGTGGGCGGGAGCGATTTTTAGATCCTTGCAGCCTTAGAAGATGCTGGTCGCTGCTGCGCAGGCGCGGGAGGCGTGGGTCCACTGCACAGAGTGGGAAACTGAGGACTGTAGTGAAGTGTGCGAAAGGCTGGCAAATACCGGTGTCCGGAGCTCCCACCTCAAGCTGGGTGGAGATTCAGAAGCTAAGAGGGGTCCTTTGATCCCGTCTTCAGCCGGGGCTTCTGAGGATTAGTAAGGGGTCAAGTGTTGTCAAGTAACTTTGGGAGGAGAATTTGGTCCAGGCTTCTCATCGAGGCGTCCCCCAGGTCTAGCCCTTGTGGGTGTCCTTGGAGCCCAGCCTTGAGCTCAGTACTCTGTGGGGAGTTCAGATAAAGCGAAGCCTGGGCCCAGACTCAGTCTGGACCCCCAGCCTGGCGCCTGGGAAGAGTAGGGGAGGATTCAGGCTCTCATTCAGGGAGATTTTTTGGTCTCTGGACTCCTCTAATTTACCATGCCCTAAATGGAGAAGGCTGGAGATGAAAGTTAGCTGAGTAGACAGTGCAGCAGGAAAGATGGGGGTCAGACGTCAGGAAGGACTTCCCAGGTGTCTGGAAGATGATAGAGCAAGGCATGGATTGGAGAGCTGATTAGCTTTCAAACTGAGCTCAGATGGCCTGTCTCAGAGTCTGGGCCCCTCTCAGGCCCTCCTTAGGATTCCCTCCCCTAGGCTGGGCTGGGTAGGATGTGTTCTGGGAAAAGGGAGAGAGCTGCGGCAAAACTGGAGCTAGTGCTGCAGTAGCCCAGCTGGGTTCGCGCCGTCGGGTCCCCGGGAAAGGGCGTAAAGAGGCGGGGCCTGCATAGGATGTGTCCCCGCCCTCCCGGCCGATGCCGACTCCCATTGGCTGAGCACTACGCGGGGCTACTCGTTCACTCTCCCTCTTTGTCCACCCCCCTCAGAGCCCCGCCCCCAGACCTGGATCGGGTGTGTATGCGTGTGTGTTTGTGTGTGTGTGTGTGTGTCAGGGGAGCCCAGACTCCACTCTTCACTCACCCACTCTCCCGGCCCTAGGCGTCCCCCCAGCCGGGCGAGCACAGCCGGAGAGTCCTAACCTATTCTTCCCTTCTGGCAAAGTTAACCACTTCGCTCCTAGATACACTAGGCACACACCGGTGCCACTCCTTAGGAACTGGCCCACCACTATGGAGCGCCCCAGAGGATCCCTGTGTGCATTTAGGATCGTATATATACGATGGGTGACTTCGAATGCCCTGTCCGCAAAGCCATCCATTAATCCTGGGAAAAAGCGAAATCCACTCTGGCAGAGGTGCTCTGCACCTGGAGATGGTGGCAGTGTCTGTCTACACTGACGCCAAGGATTCGAATCCTTGAATACTCCAGTTTGCTCCTTTCCTCGACTCTAGAATGTTTGGGGACGCGAGACGATGGGGCTGGGTTTGACTGTTTCTTTAGGTGGAGCTTAAAGGTCCCCCCGCGGCTCACCCTCGAAGGCCGAGTGTAGCCAGTTCCCGAGCCCTCGACTCCGTGCCCGGAAAATCCAGACCTTGATTTCTCTTGAGCCATTGCGGACTTACAGCTAGTTTGGCCAGTCCGGGATGCGGCTCATTCACGCCAATCCTGCAAAGACGGAGGGAAAACATGGTGTGGATTTCCTGGCATCCATGGCTTGGAAGGATAGGGCTGCGGACGGAGACGGAGCGTTCTCGTTCTGTTCTTCTGTCTGCACTTCTGTGCTCTGTACATAGTAGTGAGAGGTTCCTCTAGCCCATCTCCTGTCCTGGAAGCATGTCTGCTAATAATAACTCCTGTTCCTATGACATAATACTCATGAAGTTCTTACTACGTGCTAGGCACCATGCTAAGGGCTTGGCCTGCATCACCTTACAGAATCCTCTTTAGGAAGCGTGAACTATTGGAAGGTCATTTGCCACGCTCGCGAGGGGCAGAACTGGGCTTTGAACCTAGGGCTTTCTGTTTTCAGAGAGCCTAGAAAGGATCTAGAACATTTCTTATTTTCCCCTGGTTGGCTTCTCCACAAAAAGGGCTTTTGAAACTCACCCGAATGTTCAGGCTCCAGAACTGCCCTGCTCCCTTCTTTCCACCTCTGCCTGCCGAACGGATAGGAAGGTGATGCCACCTCTCCCCACTTCTCTCCTCAGAAAAAAGCAGAGACCCTAATTCCTGATTCCTCTAATAACTTTCAGACCACTTGAGAAACAGAATACAATCTTCTTCAAATGTGGGCAATAAAATTAATAGCCACCAGTTATATATTCTCATTGCTATTATTACTCAAGGACACCCCCCCCCAGTTCCTGTTTCAAATCTAAATTTTGAGCTACCCTAACTGCCCCCCTCAACTCCTTGAATCTGGTTGGGTTAGGGCAGGTCTGTTGGAGTTGTGGTCATTCACTCATTCCATATTTCATGCTTGAACATGCTAACCTCATGCCTGCCTCAAGCCTTTGACCTTGCAATTACCTCTACTTGGAATGTTCTCTCTACAGATTTTTCCTATGGCTGGGTCTTATCTTTCAGCAACCAGCTTAGAAGTCACCACCCCAGAGCAGCCCTTGTCTCCCCCTCCCAGCCATCTTCATCCCATCAACTTGTATGATTTTGTTCATAACACTTATTACTGTCTAAAATTCTTATTCCCTTCTGCATTAATCTTATTATTGTCTGTCCCCCCACACACACACACACACACTAAATTCTACTCCCAAATGGGCAGGGATTTTTATTTCTCTTGCTCACTACTGTGTCTTCAGTGCCTAGAATAGGGTATGGCATACAGTAGGTGCTCAATAAGTATTTTAATATAAAGACTCCTGCTTCGTCTACACAAACACGCACTGCGATGCCAACTCAGGACTCTATATGGGGCCCCTCCTGTGTACCTGGCCTTGAGCTGGTGTCTGGAGGTCGGGAGAGGAATCTTCCTGCGACCCTGTCCTCCAAAGAGCCCGGCCTCTAGAGCATGGCCAAGGGTGAAGGTGACTGTGTTGATGAGGTGCCTGCTTCCACCCGCTTCTGCTCCTCCAGGGGGCTGCAAGGGCTTGTAGGCAGCGGCCGCTGGTCTGTGCTGACCCCTATCCTTCTAATCCCCTTTGCTTTCCAGAAGGATTTGCCCCTGCCTCGGAAAAGCAGCAGGTGAGCCTTGGGGAGAGATGCGCGGGTTTGGTTGCCTCTTTTTTGGTCCGAGGGGGGGCGCCCAGGGTGCGCGCGGACTGGACCTGGCGCGCCGGCGCACAGCAGCGCCCCCTCCCGGTGGATCGCAGCCGCAGGGCCCTCCCCTCTCCCGCCCTCCTCCGCCCGCTGCGGCTCCAGCCTCCGCCCCGCGCGCTTGCTCCCCGCGCCGCCGCCGCCGCCGCCGCCGCTGCCGCACCTGCCACCATGTCGCCGCCGCCGGGTCATGTCTGACTCTCTCTGGACCGCGCTTTCCAATTTCTCGATGCCCTCCTTCCCCGGCGGCAGCATGTTCCGCCGCACCAAGAGGTAGCCCCCGGACCCCAAAAAACACTGTCCCAGGCCTCCCCTTAAAGCAGCCCCTCCGGCAGCTGCCGCAGGGCGGGGCCGGGGATGCTGCTCCCGGTCCAGCTGCGCCAGAGGTGCCTGCGCTGCGCCTTCACGTCGGGGAGGGGGCTGCATGGGGGACGGTGTGGGCCAGGGCTGGGTAGGAACCGCACGCTGGAAGGGACGGCCACGGGGGAAAGGGGCTGCGCTGGGCGGGGGGCTGCTGTGGCGCCTTTGTCTGCTGGCGCTGCGGGCTTTGGCAGCCGGTTGGGGGTGGGGGAAGAAGAGGAGGGTGGGGGGTTTGGCACCCTCAGAACAATAGCCGCAGCCTGCCCCCCCTCCTCATGCCGCGCGCGCTTGGACACGCTAATATGCTCAGTCACTGTGGCCGGGGTGGGGGTAGGGATGGAGGGCAGGGGGCTCCTTCTTCAGGAGCTGGGATCCCAGGAGCAGAAAGAAAAAGAGGGATTTTATCATAGCATAGCCTCTCCCCTCAAGAAATACAGCCTCACGCCAAAAACAGTGACACGGCATCATGCAGGGCATGATGTCACACACATACACACACACAGCCCTAGTGGCCCAGATACACCCCGGAGGCGCCATGCACACCCAGCCAGTGTCAATCATAGGGCTGAGCCATGTACAGACACACAGGAGCACCCCCAGTGTCATACACAAGTCCCACTATGTCTTGTGCACCTAGTAAGATGTCACGTGCATACCAATCCACACACAATTATGCCATTCAAGATGTACACAGACATATGTGGTAGTGACACAGCCATGCACCCAACAATGTCACACTATACAGTCACACCTAGGCATGTCACATGGGATAGACACAGGAAATCTTAACGAGACGGGGAGACACACAAATATCATACATCACATGCAAGACTCACCTAGGGAATGTCACACATAGTGACATTCTCTGACATGCCCAGGGTCAGAGGGTGTGAAATTCACACATAGTAGATGCCACATGTGGACACACACAGTAAACATCACAGACAGACACAAGGACAGTCACTCTCTCACACACTCAGAATGTCACACAAAGACAGCAGAGATGGCACACCTGGACATGGACAAGTGACACTATAAAGTGTGTCACATGGCATGCAAAGGCAGAGCTAGATCACACAAGATAAACTCAGCTATTGTCACACATGATGTCACACTAGGACACACCCAGTGTCACACAGTGTTGAACTCACATAGTGGATACCACACGTAGATGCACACAGTGAATGCCATGCACAGACCCAAGGACACACAGATGATGCACCGATGGTGTCACTGACATCACCATCACACCACGAGTGACACATTGTGCTTCACAGGATCATACATGATCCTTACAGCAAATGTAGCACACACACATCACACATGTATCCCCTACACCTAATCGAGGTCCCCAAGGACGCCTCCTCCGAGCAGTCCTCCAAGTGCCTCCAAGCACACACGGATAAGGGATAGGGCGGGGATCTGGGATGGGAGGGCGGCTTGCTAGGGTCACGGAGTTCACCGGGGTACGGCCCGGCCCAGACTCCTTGCCTCGCCTTCCCCGCAGCTGCCGCACCAGTAACCGGAAAAGCCTCATCCTGACCAGCACTTCACCCACGCTTCCGCGGCCCCACTCCCCACTGCCCGGCCACCTGGGTGAGACGGATGGTGCGGTCTTAGTGGGTGTGTGGACCAGACTAAAGGAGACCGGCCCCGAGCGAGGGGATGTGTGTATGCCTCTGGGGGGTGTGCGAAACTAATCGAGACAGAGGAGGATCCGGATTGGGCAAGGGGCGGGACCACCCGTGTATGGGCGTGACCAGTCCGCAGATGGAACTGTATTGGTCGGGAGAGTGCCGGGAGATGCTGGATTGGAAACGGGATGGGAAAGAAAAAGGAGGAGCCGTACCTGAGGGGCGGGGTCAGATGGAGGGGGCTGGGCTCATTTGGGAACCAAAAACTTAAAGGGGCTGGGTCTCAGGGAAGGGGGCGTGGTCAACCCATACGTGGGCGGATCTAGACTAAAGAGGAGACCGACTCTGGCTGCTGTTTGCAACCCCCTTTGGGGATTACGAGGCTTGATAGGATTGCCCTACCCTTACCCTAGGCCTAAAGCGCTCCTTCCTTCCGCTGCAGGTAGCAGTCCCCTGGACAGCCCCCGCAACTTCTCCCCAAACACCCCCGCCCACTTCTCATTTGCCTCCTCCCGAAGGTGAGTCCCTGCCCTTCGCAGCCCCGGAACCCTAGCCGGAACCATCCCGCTATCTGTTCCCCATACTAACTGCGCCCATTACTGGGGCCTGAGGGGACACCCCCCAGAGTACCCCAATATCCCAACGGGAAGGAATGTCCAGCCTCAGAGGCGGAGCCTATCCGAAGATGGGACCAATCGTTAAGCGGAAATCGAGAAAGGGCGGGGCTTCTTTTGCGGCGGAGCCGAGGCGCGTGCGCTCACATGCTCAGGGTCTCTTGTCTCCAGAGCCTCCGGCTCTGGGCCAGGCGTTTCCATAGCAACAGGGCAGGAGCGCCAAGATGAAATGCGCAAGCGCAGACTATGTGGCGCCCATCGAATGACTCTGGGTCCCTGAGGTGGGGGAGGGCAGCTATGGCTAACTCTCGAAGTCCCAGGAGAAGGAATCTTAGGATTCCCTTTGGAGGTCTCCGAGGGTTTCTAGAGTGTCCCTAAAAGAATGATCTATGGGCCTTGGGTGGAGCTGGGGAGGCAGAGAGGTTCCCCCCCTTTTTTTTTTTTTTTGGGAAACTTTCTGGGCATCAACAGGAAGTCTGGAAGGGTCTCCTCTTTGAGCCCTATCCAACCTCAAAACGTCTGAACACCTGCTGGGAGCTGGGCATACGTGGTGAACAGCACTTCCTTTCTATCCTCAGAGTTGAGTGGGGGAGACAGTTCAGAGAATGGGGATCCTAACAAGGGTAGAGAAGGCTGTGTTATGGGCATCACAGAGGGCTGTGGGGCACACTGGAGCATGGGGGAAGGCTCCCCTGGGTCCTGGAATTCACCTGAGGGCAACAGGGAGTGGGATACGGCTGAAAGACTGGGCCTGATGTGGACAGATCTGCATGTGGGAAGAAACTGGCATGTCTGGTGGAAGGTGGGAAGGAGACGCCACCTAGGGACTTGTGAGAAGTGATGGGGTCTAGAGCAAGTGGCAGCAGCAGGGGAGGGCTTAGGGCACACCCTAGGGCACTCACTAGAGGAAGAAATGAGGGAGGACTGTTGTGCTTGTGTCCATGTGAGTGTGCAAATCTGTGGCTGCAGACGTGTCTGTGAGATTATAAATGTCTGATTATATGAGGGAGCCTGCACCTGTGTGTGCATCTGTGTGCAAATGAGAATGTGGGCAGGTGTATCTGTAAAGTTGTAAATGTGTGTGAATATATGAGGGAGGACGTGCCTCCAGTGTGTCTATGTGAATGTGCTGCTGTGTGTGTGTGTGAGTGTCTGTGAGAGTTTGAATGTGTAAGTGTGTGACTGAGTAAGTGGGAGTGTCTTGCATGTGTCTGTGAAAGCACGTGCAAGTGACTATATGTGTGTCTGTCACAGTGTGATTATGTGGGTCTCTGTAAGTGTGTGTCTATCTGTGTCTGTATGTGCATGTGTGAAGTGTGGGTGTGTGTGAAGTGTGGGTGTCTGTGTAAAGTGTGACTGTGTGGCTGTCAGTGTGTGACCACAGTATTCACACTAATACTAGTGGGTGTTGCTGTAAGAGTGTGTCTGTCAAGTTGTACATGTGAATGGGAGTGTGTTTGGAGGGACCTTTCTTCTCTAAGCCTGCCTCTGAGAGGTTTCTCATGGAGGATTCTCTAGGGGAATACTTTTGGGGTACCTCTGTGAAGACTACTTTGGGTGGCCTTTTCCAGTCCTCCCTGGGGTCCACTCTGGGGGGCTTGTTTGGTTCAGGGCTGGCAGGAGAGGAGCATCCTGAGGAGCAGGGGAGGCTGATCTTCCTACCAGGTCTGGGAGGCCCCACAGGAAGCCTGCCTCTCTAGCTCTTTGACTGTGAGGTGACTGGAATCTTGGGAAGAAGCTATATCCCCACCCTCTGCCCTGGCTGTGAACAGTGGATTCTATCATATCCTGAGGAGTTGGGGGGGAAGGGTGCTGGGGGAGCCTGGCAGTCTCTGAGTACCTCGCCTGGATTCCAGGGCGGATGGACGCCGTTGGTCTCTGGCCTCACTCCCTTCTTCTGGTTATGGCACCAACACACCCAGCTCCACGGTCTCGGTGAGTGTAGCAAGCAGGTGGGTGGGAGCTCTGGGGGCAGCCCCACACCTAGGCCAGCAGCCCAGGATGACTTTAATGAGAACCTTGGGTTCCCTTCTTCCAAGAATGTTCACCTGTCCTTCCAATAGCCAATTACAGGTCCCTTCTAAATCTTTGTTCTCTGCCCTTGACAATCTTTTAGGGATCCTGTTCATCTCAGACTCATTTTACAGATAGTGACATTGAAGCCCAGTTGGTTAAGTTACTTGCCCAAGGGTCTGCAGCTGGCCAGGCTCAGACCATGCCTTTTATCCCCATGGTCTGGCCTGTAACCCATTTGCTTACCCACTGTAACACCTAAAGTCTGTCTCTCCATCTGCCCTTTTTCTTCCTGTGTCATTGGCCCATTGGTAGGTGTCAATCCATCCACTGGTAGGTCGTTCATCAGACATTTATTATATGTCTGGCATGGGTGGGTGGGCTCTATGAGCTGGACCCAGGTCCAGGAATTCACACAGTTCTTAATCAGGAGAGAGACACGCCAGTAAGAAAACATTCACAGAGCAGGGAGGTTGGGGCTGTGATGGTGGCACATGACACAGCTGGGGGGTCAGGAAGGCTTTCTGGAGCAAATGGCATTGAAACCGAGACCAAAAGGGTCAGCAGGAGTGTGGCAGATGGAAGAAGGGGGAGAGGGCTATTCCAGGAAGGGAGAACAGCATGTCCAAACTCCCAGAGGCCACCAAGAGCTTGACACCTTTGGAAAGTTGAAAGTAGCTTTGTGTGGCTGGAGCTTTGGGCTGGAAGTGGATCATTGGAGGTGATGCAGGCAGGGACTTGCTGGGCAGGGTACCGGTTACCAGTGGCTGCCAAATCATCTCCAGTGCATGGTGATCCCACAGGGGTCAGGGCGAACTGGGCTCTGTAGTGTTTTCAATTATTGATTTTTGAGAAATTGATCCTCAGGGTTGCTTCTGAGGAGATTCTGACTAGACTTGAAATGCCAACCTTTCAGTTAGCAGCGGGCTGCTAACCCAGGGCCTTTGCAGGTCAGGCTGGGGAGGTAGATTTCATTCTAAATATAGTGGGGAGCCTTAGAAAGGCTTTATATAATATTGTATTAAAGTTTTAGTTTGAGTCATTTAAAGTTATGCTTCTGCAGGCCATAGGGCATGGGATATATATATATATATATATATGTGTGTGTGTGTGTGTGTATACACACACACATATATACACACATACACAAACTCACTGCCATCAAATCAAATCCACTCATGGTGACTCCCCTTGGGTTTCCAAGGCTGTAAATATTTACTGAAGTAGATAGCTCCATCTTCCACACATATATATATGGGAGCTCTGGTAGCGTAGTGCCTAAGGCACTTGACTGCTAACCAGAAGGCTGGTGGTTCAAACCCACCAGCCACT